GTCCTTAATTATTTGTATTTGCTCTGCTGAGGCAGCGGGAGGTGGAGATGTGTTCCAGAGAGGGCAGGGGGCAGCCGATGGTCTTCTCTGCCATCCTGATCACTCTCTGCAGGGCTTTCTTGTCCGCAGCTGAGCATCCTGCATACCACCCCGAGATGGAGTATGACAGCACGTTCTCGATGGTCGCCCGGTAGAAGGACACCAGCAGCTTCTTGTTCAGTCGGTTTCTCCGAAGCACCCTCAGGAAGTGTAGTCACTGCTGGGCCTTCTTAACTTCTGCAGTGGTGTGTGCTGTCCAGCTCAGGCTCTCCGAAATGTGTACCCCCAGGAACTTAAAGGTGGAGACCCTCTGCACTCTCTCTCCATTGAGGTGAAGGGGGGCGGGTTCTGGACGGTGTTTTCTGAAGTCTATGATGATTTCTTTTGTTTTGCTTGTGTTCAGATATAGGTTGTTAGCTGAACACCACGCAGACAGCTTCAGGATCTGGTCTGCCGACTCGTCGTCTCCCTTATATATTTGACCGACCACAGTGGTGTCATCTGCACATTTTATATTGGAGTTGGAGGGGTGAATGGGAGAGCAGTCGAGAGTGTGTAGAGTAGAGGGCTCAGCACGTAGCCCTGTGGGGAGCCAGTGCTGAGGGTGCGGGTGGAGGAGCAATAAGGGCCACTGTCTGAGGACGGTCTGTAAGGACATTATGAATCCAGGCGCATAAGATGGAAGGGAAACCTAGGCTTGACAGTTTTTCCACTAGTATGTCAGGTATGATGGTGTTAAAAGCTGAGCTAAAATCGACAAACAGCATCCTGATATACACCTGAAAATGTGCAGAATATATCCTCTTCAAAGATTGCCTTGAATAGTAACCACGACAACATCGTTTTTCTCAAAACAAGTCCAGCTAAAAGTGAAAAACAACGCTCTCCCTCTGCAGCGTTTCTCTGCTTTTTGCTTAATGTATTCTGGGGCTGGCTCCAGTCCAGTGACCCCGGCTCAATCACAGTGTTCACCCTTTGCACTGAGCACTGAACCCGCTCAGATATTAATTGGCAACACCTGCAAGCTTGATGCGGATGAGCGGGGGGGGGTTCATTAAGGTGAAAGGACTCAAAAAGCTGTTTATGGAAAAGGACGTCACGCTACATCACGTTAGATGTTAGTGCAGAGGCTTTTCTTCAGACAGTAGAGTAATGAGACTCAGGTTTCTTTCATAATCAAGCAAAGTGTTTGATATTGGATGAATAGTAATGTTGCTTCAATATTCAGTGGATACACATCCATAAAACTGTCTTAACATCGACAGATTTCGGGCAGTTTTGGGTTAGTTAGGGTTAAAACATGTCATTAAGTGGGAATGACACACATGAGCCTCCAAACTCCTGCAGACGTATTAGTGGCATGGTCCCAATTCCTCTTTTGGAAACTGGCAGCAAAGTCTGAGTGACGATGGACATGGATGGAATTTTTTACAATAGAAAATTCAATTTGATGCCCCGGAGGATCGTTTATTGAAATAGCTTCATGTTGTATCTTCTCCATATGCTCTATCGTATGCACATGTCATTGATGTTTAATTGAATCTCTTTTAACTCTCATCCTCCCCACAGGCGTGTACTTTGTGTCATTTAGCACAGAGGCTTTATTTTATCATCACAACGTTTCATGACTTTGTCAACCAATGTATTCCTAATGACTTTATATCTCACTGCGTGTTTTGATGCTATACTTTATGTTGTTTTTGGGCCCTCGGGGACCTGAGCAACATGCACTACATTCCAGTCTTTGAAGCGTTAATTGATAACATGTACATGGATAAATGTGTCATGAATTCTAATGAAGTAAGTTAATAATTAAGTAAGTATCAGGGGGGTGGTGGCGGGATACAACAATGTTCTCTTTTTTTTTTGTTGCATATGACATTAATTACATAAATGGGGCGAAGCCTGCGAGGTAGTTCAGGCAGTCAACCCGAGCACTTCTGCCGCATTCATACATAACGCCCCTTGCCACTCACAACAAACCAAACAGTCTCCTTAATGTGCCGCTCTATTGAACCTGCCAGATCTCTCTCCATGCATCGCTTGCTGCTGTTGTTGATGCAGCTACTTCCACGTCGCAGCTGCCGGCCCGCCCGACCACCACCCCAGCTTCCACCCCAGCTTCCGCCCCAGCTTCCACCCCAGCTTCCACCCCAGCTTCCACCCAGCTTCCACCACAGCTTCCACCCCAGCTTCCAACCCAGCTTCCACCCAGCTTCCACCCCAGCTTCCGCCCCACCACCACCTCAGCTTCCACCCCAGCTTCCACCCCAGCTTCCACCCCAGCTTCCACCCCAGCTTCCACCCAGCTTCCACCCCAGCTTCCACCCCAACTTCCACCCCAGCTTCCACCTGTAGGCTTTGGGGATAGTTATCTAATCATAACTCAATGTTCTTTGTATATCTATGGAGTCATGAGGCCCGAGCCTAGACGCCAAACTCAACTATATGCTGCTTCTAATAGACATGTAAAGAAACACGTGAGTTGTCTGACTGAACTGAAGTTAAAGCTTAACGATGTTTAATAACTCAAATAATCAAACAATAATTTGAAGAGGATCGAACGGTCAACAGAAAATGTCCGAGCCAGCTCATCGTATCTTAGTGTGATACTAATCACTGACAGGTGGACTAAATACAAACAAACAAGACCCATGTGACAAACACCGGAAGTGGTAATTAAAAACAAATGTGTGCGATCTAAAACAACAACAATAATGGAGATAATTGCCTCAGGCTGAATAAGCATTTTGGCTCCAACAAGTTTAATGTACAATAAGCATGTTTTTATGATCAACCAATTTTGCAGACCTTTTCTTAGTAGCTTATACAAATACGTTTTCTATATAGGAGAATGAATGTGTTGAATTTTGTGAGCATTTCAAAATGAAAGCTTATCTTTAAATGTCAGAACAAGAGTCCCTCTGAATTACACACATTATTATACCTATCACAAACCAAACACAATGGAGCTTAGTCAAATGTCATTTGGATTCTCAACTTTTTTATCCCAGATCCTCCAGATGATACACAGATCTCACAGTGGGGTCTGTGGATTATTCTGGGTGACTGGGGTCAGAGGTCAAAGGTCACTTGAGATGAAGTTCACTGCCCAGACTACAGGGAGTCAGCGTGTTCAGTTGCCAGCTTGTTAAGTTGTTGTTGATCAGACAGTTATCTGTTGCCTCACAGCAGGAAACCCTGAGCCGTCTGATCTGCTGACGTTTATAGAGCCGAGAGTTCACCGGAGTCACCGGAGCACTCTCATCCTTTACTAAGAAAAAATACCAACAACTGACACGCAGGTAAGACTACTGCAAACGTCATTTAGTAATATTTGTATAAACTGGAGGTTATAACTATGTGGGAATGCTACCAAGGAACAGTGGATCGTAGTTATACAATTCTGACTGCCCAATGACGTGATACATTTGCAACATTGCCGGAAGTACGTGGACATCTGTAATTCTTGACTAGGTTTTTTTTTTACCGACTTTGGGTTCCTTACCTCCAATTAGAGAAAACCCTAATGCTCTAGCATACAGTGATGTTTTATACAAGAACGTTCTTCCAAAAAGCTGTCAACAGTTTGGGGAAGACCCTCTCCTTTTCTATTTCAACACAACAATGACGCAGTGTCTAAAAAGCCATGGTTTTCCAGTTTGGTGTGGAACAACTTGTCCTCACTTCCATCTCCCCCAACGTCCTGCAGTTGGGTTTTACATCTTGCAGAAAGCCTTGACAGATTGATGCCCATGGTTCAATTTCAGCTATCATGACTCAAATGTTTACGACCTATATGCTTTTGTCAATAAACTACAACCCTAAAGAGCTCAGAGCGAAAGTGAAGGACGTGGATGTGGGGGATGTTCTTTCAGAGAGAGAGAGTGTACGTTTCAGCAATGAAAGGGTTTTAAATTACAGTCAGGCTCTGTATCAAGGGCACGGCAGCCATCTTGGATCTGAGTTCTGTTTGCTTAGTTTCCATAAAGCTGACTGAAGTAAAACAGTCTGCTGGTCTGTGATGCTGACAGGAGCTGACCTTGGTGCTGATAATCTGCAGCGGGAGAACAGGAGGCACATCCCGGAAGAGTAGGTGTTGAGATTTCAAAATAAAAGCGCAAACAAGGATGGTTAAGAAGACCCATTTAAGGGTGTGAAAACGGGATTTACTGGGAACAACATATTAACATTGGTAATCTCATTTAGTCACAATAATCACTATGTAGTTATTTTCTATTGTATTAATAGGATTGTACTTTGTGTCTTAAATGAAAGTGTTCGTATGCAATATTTTTCAGACGGCAATTTAGTTCTGGATAAATAAATAAAATGTTTATTTCTATATGAAAGACTGTACATTCTTTTTATAAATTAGGTCCCTTTGGCAGTAATTAACTAATGTCATAATTCCAAATTGATTTCTCATAATAGACAAGAATCTTATCAGTGCTGTAAAGAGCAGGAAATGAGTTGATGATGATTCAATTAATTTATACGAAGTCAAACTGTTGTACGCCACTTAAGTGCAATTGTTTGACCTCTGTTGCATTTCTCCAAGCAACCAATTTTGACTATCTGTTTCCCCAAAATAGTAACATGAATAAATGAAGACTTAAACTTGAATTTGAACTTGAAAAGACCTGTTAAAAAAGTGCTTTTATTTTGAAGGCATGGACCGGATGTGATGCTGTTTACACTGCCTGGCTTCGAGGTGGCACTTTGCCAAAACGTCCAGGTGAAGACGACTCACTGAATTAATAACGACGGGGTTAGAGACACGACCTGCGGGTTAACTCACACACGAAGGTAGTGCTGGGTTTCCTGCCGCCATGTTCACAGCTGAGGTCTAAAGGGAGCGGTACAAAACACCGGATCTGTGTGTTACCCCGTTAACAGGGCGGTTCAGGGTGGAAGAAGAAACTATACTATTTGTGATAGCGTATATATCAAAAAGACTGTGCTTTATTGAGACAAAGTTACAAGAATGATTCCGTTTTTAATCATGTAGTTTGATCACACTTTAAAGTTATTGAGACAAGTTCTGACACAAAAACCAATAATTGGATTTTATGTTTTTTGGTGACTATGACTTTATACTGAATTAAAATGATTAAAACCTTGAACACTGTCTTTTTACGCTGACATGTTTATACTCACTGGGAGACAAAATGGGTTGTATCTGTCCTAATGTTTGTATTTCTTTTTGTATTTCTTTCTCTCTCAGTTTATTTACAATTGGCATACAGTACCAGTTACCTCTTTAATTCTTATTCTATATGGTCACAAATATACCAATTCGTTTTTACCATGGTGTACTAATCTGCTATTTTTTATTATTTGTATACTTATTGTATTATTTTACTATTAACAACGTTTGCATACTTATTTTTTTTGGTGTCTATTCTCACTCACTTTATCTTCACCATCTGCTGTTGTAATAACGTAAATGTCCCACGTAGACTTCTACTTAGTCACAACACATTCTCTGCAACATTTAGCTTATTGTATTTGACATGTACATAGTTTACTTCATCTGCATTACTTGCACATTGGTCCAATATTTTATATCTTCCTGCACTATTTATTGTTTTTATTGTTTTGTTATGTCTTATATGTGTTGCATTGTTGAAGGAGCTTCGGACTTAATATTGTCATTGCTATATCTACACTGTAGCTGCTGTGCATATGCCAATGAATGAAGCCATTGAATTGAATGTGAACATGTTTAATTTAACAGATTTGAACTCACCTCCCAGGACACCGCCCTCACCACCAGATACATGGAAGTCAGGACAGTCAGCATGGTCCCTCCGGTGTTCGGTTCTCGTTTTACTGAACGTCTTCCGGACAAAAAACGGCAGTTCGACTCAACTCGGTACCGGGGGAACAACAGACAGGCAAGGAAGGAAGACAGACAGACAGGTGACTTTAAACCGCACTGCAGTGCGACTTTCACAGCGTCTGGTAGCTCACACACACACACACACACTCACACACGCTCACCTCCACCCTCTATACACACACTGCTGCAGTCAGTCTCTTAATAAGATTTCTAGTACGTAAATAGCCTGTGACCGGAGTCGGACTGCTAAAGCCTCTCATGTGAGTAATCACAGGTGTGAATTAATACTAAGGACGGGAGGATACCATTATTTTGCAAATAGAAGTGACGTCACTGCAGGGGAATGGAGTATCGTGGCTGCAGCAACCCAAAATAAAAAACACGTGTCAGGGTCACATGAGGACACACTGCTGCAGAGTCAGACACAACACACACACACACACACACGCACACGCACACGCACACGCACACACACACACACACACACACACACACACACGGAAGTTGGATTCTAAATGCACTGATATGTCTGATATTGACTATAAAAGACTAAAGCTGTCATTTGCACTCTTAAATTAGATGTGATATTCTAATAAAATCACAAGTGAGAGAAGGGGGATGAGTTATTCTATCCTGCACTTTGAGAATAAAAGTAAAATACAAGTAGATAAAGTCAAAAATGCAAGTCACTGATGTCAAATGCAAGCAAATTAAGTCAAATGCAAGTCTATGTGAAAGTCACTGAACTTGAATACAATTCTAAAATATTGTTACTAGTAGTACCTGTACTATTTAATGACAATAAAGTTGAATCTGATCTGAAACGTCGAATACAAGTCACTGAGGTCAGAAACATCTCATAACACCTCGATATTAAAGTCTTTCATTCCCAATTTTTTTAAGAACAATGAATGCAAATAAACACATCTAATTTAAAGTTGAATAAAGTAGCTGCAGGTCAAACAAGACAATATGTCAGTTAAAATAACTAAACCATGATTTATTGTATATTCTTGCAAGCTTCTTACACAAACAAAGCACATAGAAAAGTAAAAGTATCAGAGGGTTATAGTGCCATGTCACCTGAAACAGTACGTCAGCTGTCTTAAAAAACATACTAATGCAAGTTCATATAATTATACATGCTCACGTCAGCAATAGATGTGCATATTAACTGTGTTTACCGGTGGACTGATCCGTAGTTGTGTGTTTATTTTGTCATTACTGACCAGCAGAATTATACACAGAGTCCTGGAGGTTATGAAAATACAGGCAGGATGAGGGGGACCCGCTGATATCAGGACCGTTCTGTGAAATCTGCACGGATGAATGAATGATGGTGCCAAATGTCTAAAGAAGTGAGGGGTGAAGAGTTAATGCAGGCTGCAGGAAGGTAAGGTAAGGTAAGGCAAGGCAAGGTAAGGTAAGGCAAGGTAAGTGAAGCCCTTAAAAACTCATTTGAATTAGGCTATATGAGATAGAAAGAGAAAATTCTTTAGTGAATCCAAGACAGCTTAAATATAGTGAGAAGGCCAACAGGACATATACATTCAAACCATTGCTTCAATCTTCAATAACGTCTTTAGAAAAAATTAAATAACATTTTAATATGAAAAGTAACGTAAGGTATCAGATGGAAGAAGTTTTGTTAAAGGTACGCTTATTGGCTCTGAGATAAAGTAAAGAGGAAGTAAAGAGTAGCAGAACATGGAAATACTGATGCAAAAATACCTCAATATTGTACTATATTACTGTATAATACGAAGAGTCAAATCCCTATGGTTGTTGATGACTGCGCACTCAGCTGTATCACTCCTTCCTGCTGCCTGCAGAGGGCGCTGCATGCATGATGAATAGTTAAAAAAAACGAGCTGCTTTCTGGAGATACGAAGGTTTGAGCCAATGAAAAACTTACCAAAGGAAATGTAGTTAGTTCTCATGTTGATACCGTAGACCAGGGGGGTCAAACTCCAACACACAGTGGGTCAAGATTAAAAAATGGGTACTAGTCGAGGGCCGGACTGGTTCAATGTTTATTGCAAACTTATTGAAATGAACTTATTGCACATATTAAACCTGGAACTAACAAAGCTTAAATGATTGCCTATAAAAACAACGTTAAACATTAAATAATCAGTTGCATTAATTTCTTATGGCTCTATCTGCAGCTTTTCCAGAGTCATTTCTTATGATTACATTTTTCCACAGGCCAACATCAGCTTCAAAGAACTATTTCCCTCAAAGAAAAAACAAACATGCCCTGTTGTCTCAAGAAACAAAGTGCAGAAGGAAACATCCATGTAAACTCAGGTTGCTGCTCTGTGATGCTAGTTCAAGCAGATACTTGGCATCTCATCTTGGGTGCAAGTTCATCAATGTTTGGGCTCAGGCTCTGAGCTGAGGAGACCCTCAGGGTGGAGTGAAGGTGTGCGTGCAATATACCGGCGGGCCAGATCTAATNCTCAGTATCTTCCTGACGGCGGCGCTGGGTCTCCCCGAGGCTCTGATCCCAGTCCAGCTGCTGTGGGTGAACCTGGTGACTGACGGTCTGCCCGCCACTGCCCTGGGCTTCAACCCCCCCGACCTGGACATCATGGGCAAAAGACCCCGCTCCCCCAAAGAGCCACTCATCTCCGGCTGGCTGTTCTTCAGATATATGGCTATCGGAGGTACAACACATTATGTCCTCGCTCTCTCTCTCTCTCTAACCGTCTCATCCAGTGAAGCATTCAATTTGGTTTGAGTTTTACTGCAGATAAGCCCCTCGTCCCCTGGTGGTTCGGCAATTTCCTTTTTATTCGGTCTTAAATGGCCTCGAGCGATTGTTGATAAGAGTTGTTTTAATCTAAATGATGTTGTTGCCATGGTAACACATCCGCCTCCTGGGTACCATGCACCAGATTAATATGGATTTCTTTCACAACGTTATCAAAAAAACTCACTAGCAGAGATAATATGATCCTGATGCACATGTTGACTCAATGTGTTGGATCTGAATTCCTGTATAAAGTCTGTAGATGAAAGCCTGCAGACTTCTTTCTGAAACACTTGAATCTCTCCCCCAGGTTACGTTGGAGCAGCAACAGTGGCTGCCGCTGCCTGGTGGTTCCTGTACTGCGACGAAGGCCCCGGAGTGAGCTTCTACCAGCTGGTAAGAAGAAGACATATTCGGCTCATTTCAAGTTCATAGTTGCATTTTGTGCCTCTACGTGTGACGTCTCCATGCTTTCATGTTCAAAAAGCCCTTTATTTCTCTCATACTGCCTGTGCTGCAGCACCTCTTTTCACCCTCTGTCTGAAACTAGAGCTCTGATTGGTTAGCTGGCAGGCTCTGTTGTGATTGGTCATCCGCTTAGAGATTCCCTTTAGCCTATCAGGGGCGTTTCAGGAGTGTGTGGGAGAGGAACTCACTCTGGAGGGAACTTTGGGATGTTAGCCTTAGCAAACCATTTACATAAATAATGTTATTATGTTTGTTCCTTTCCGGACTCAGCGTGGTCTGTGTTTTGTTTTTATGTCGACCTTAAAAATGTCTGCCTCATGTGGTTATTGTATTCATGTTTCTGTGGTCTTCATTTTAACTTTTGTTCTTACTTTTGAAGCACTATTCGAATTTGATTTATGTGAAAGGTGCTATAATAAATAAACGCATTATTATTATTATTATTATTATTATTACATGTACAAATACCAGGCGTCTGTAGGCTCCCTCCAGCTGCTATACCTGAAACCTTTCCTGTAAAACTCCTGTAAAAACCCTCTACCAACAAACTTCATGAAAGGCTTTCAGCGTCTTAGAGACCATGCAGGGTTTGAGTCATATTATATTTCTCCTTCCTCTCTGTCAGTCCCACTTCATGCAGTGCAGCGATGACAACGAGGACTTTGAAGGGATCCACTGCCAGGTGTTTGAGGCCGCCCCCCCCATGACCATGGCTCTGTCCGTGCTGGTGACCATCGAGATGTGCAACGCTCTCAACAGGTCAGACTGCACTGTGAACACATCCTGCCAGCACTCACTGCCACACTGTTAGTGAGCAATACACAATATCCTCCCTAGTGGTGAGGAATACGTCAACTCAACTCCTGAACATATGTGCACATTTAAAGTACTTTAACATTATTATTACATTTTTTACATGAACTGACGCCTTTATTGAAAGTTGCTTACAATAAGTGCAATAAACCATAAAAATACAAACTCATAAAAACAAGAAAAGTGCTGAGATACTCACTTCAAATAAGCCCAACCATTGTAAGTGCATTAGTTTCAATAGTTTGTTGTATTTATTGGCACTCTTTACTTCTTTCCACTACAGTTCAGTAACAGAATAAGGGATTTACTTTTGATATTTTACATACAAATAGCTGATAATACTCTTTTACTTTCAATTAAATTCGGGATTTAAAAGCCAAACTTTCCTTTTAAAATTGTTGATACTTCTCCCACGCCTGATCAATATATGTTACAATATATAACAAGTTAAAATTAGCTCCCCATTTTTTGTAATAGGTACTTTTAAAGCATTCCTCATATCTATAAAGCAGAGGATCATGTGCGGTCATTGATAGGAGGCGTGTGGCGCAGTGGGTTGTGCGTAGGTGTTAGGATCAGTTGAATCACAGGTTCAAACCCCTCTGCAGTCAGCATGTCGTTGTGTCCCTGGGCAAGACACTTCACCCCAAATAGCTCCTGTGGGGATTGCCCACAGTATTGAGTATGTAAGTCGCTTTGGGTGTCTAACAAGTGATATGTGATAGTATACATTTTGAAACTATGTCTATGGTAGGAAGGAACACAACATTTTAAGGACCTCCTGTTTCAATATTTACCATATTGATGTGTTTTTGCATACTTTTGTACACATTTATTTTACCTTTTCATAAGCCCTCCCACATGTTCAGCCTGTATTAAATCCCCCTCCTCTCCTCCCCCCTCCCCCCAGCCTGTCAGAGAACCAGTCTCTGGTGCGCATGCCTCCCTGGAGCAACCTGTGGCTGGTGGGCGCCATGTCGCTCTCAATGTCCCTCCACTTCATGATCATCTACGTCGACCCCCTGCCCGTGAGTCCCCACCTCCCACACACACACACACACACACACACACACACACACACACACACACACACACACACACACACACACACGCACACACATTAGCATGGTATAATTACAGTTATAAGCACTCTTAAATATTCAAAATGCTATAAAAGTGTAATCATAATGCATTTTATGGGATTTTATATTGTGTTAAAGGCAGAGTATCATAATCATTTATTAGTTTATACCGCAGATTATCTGATTATAATGCATTGTAAAAAATAAAAAAAAAACTATAAGAATTATAACAGACTTTGATCCTTGCAAAAATAAATGAGTGATAAACTTTGAAGTAATTTGATACTTTTAGGTCTTCATTAAAAGCTTTATACCGTGTTGAGATTATAGGTATAAAGCAATAACATGAATATTCACGAGTGCTTATGTTATAACTATCCAGAGCTATAAGCGGAACATGGTTTATTGTAAAATACATTACAGATGTGGCGTGTTGACATTTCTTCTCTTCTTTGCATGTATTGAAAAGTGTATTCACGGCCATATGAGCATTCATGTTACTAGTATCTGTGTAATGAACACACAGCTTGTTTCTAACTGGACGTCGTGCGTGTAGTTTCGCAGCTTCAACTCTTTCCCCTCTCTGGTCCACAGATGATCTTCAAGCTCACCCACTTGAACGTGGAGCAGTGGCTGATGGTCCTGAAGCTCTCCTTCCCCGTCATCCTCATCGACGAGGTGCTCAAGTTTGTGGCTCGCACATATCTGGAGGGTAAGCTCAACATGTGACCTGTTCCCTGTATGTATATGGTGTGTTTTATATATAAACAGTATGGGGGGTAACACATTCTGGAACAAATATCAGTCTGTGTTATAAACAAGAAAACATGTGGTTAGACTTAGAGGGGAAGTTTGAATACCATTTTCTTTTTTTTCTTAACTTAGTTTTTATTTCATTATACATACATGTTCACATTCTGGTCAACAGTTTTTCCATTTTCATTTAGCTGTATCTACATAGCCAACATAACAAAAAGGAAAAAAGTACAAAAAGAGATCAATACAAATAATAATAAAATAGACACATGAAAAGATAAATACATACAAATAATAATCAAATAAAACAGCAAAGGAGGGGGGAGGGTCATCCATGTGTGTGTGTGTGTGTGTGTGTGTGTGTGTGTGTGTGTGTGTGTGTGTGTGTGTTGAATACACATTCTGAAATTGATTTAGACGTAACTAATGCTGATCACATTATTATTTAAAAGTGTTTAAGCAGCCTGAATACTTAGCTGGTATCATTTAAAAAAATGTTATTACAAGATGTAAGACTTTACTTGTAAAATATACACACGTGTACATTTTAAGAATATCTCAAGAATGTCTCAATGTCTCATTTTAATCTATTCGTATTTGAATGTATTTGAACTGTTATTCTATCCTCTCTGCTTAAATGTAATCTTTGATGATATTTCTCTAACTTTCCTCTCCTTGGTGCTTTTCTCTCCTTCATTCCTTTTTCTGACAATCCAGTCTCCCCTTTATCACTAGCAGGTATTCCCCTGACTCATGATACAGATTTAAGCATGTTGTGTTTCTCTGTCTTGCAAATGTTTCTGGACTAATGCAAGTGGATCCTCCTGTTTGGCTGGAGGTGCATCGGTCTTGATATACCATTAGAAATCTAAAAACTGGTCTGAGCATCAAACAGAGTATTTGCATCGTGGAAGTTTGGAAGTGTCGTTTAGGTTATTGCTGACAGATGCTTTTAGATCCTCTAAAAGTAGGAATAACATTAGCACTTGTTGACTATGCATTAAAGAGATCAGACTAATAATGTGCCTTTTAATAACAAAGTTGTTTCTGGATTGTTCCTCACACTGACCTTGTATTCTTAGGTGTGGTTATAAACAAGGTTACATGTAATAATGTGTGCTTGCTTTTGTAACATGACTGATAAATAATGCTTATTTTCTGGTGACCTTACTTGACTCTTGTGCAAGATGGGGTAGTTTTCTACCTAGTTAATGTAGAGTTGTGTTTAGATTTCTTATATTTATTTATTTATTTACTTTAAATTGAACTGTATTTAACGTCAACCTCCTACTATGACACTGGTGATGTGTAAAAATGGGCACTCTTTGAGCAGGAAGTTACTGGTTTCGGCCAAGAAATTGTTCCTGCACTTTTTTCATTTTTAGAATTTAAACATTGTTGAAAATAGTTTTCTAAAAGGCAGATTTAGTTAACTTTGACAAATACAGGCTAGCGGTTTGGTTCTGCTAAGTGATGCTAGCCAGATGCAGAAGGCAGTGTCCATACTGTGATCTAGCTTACTGTATCCAACCAATCAAATCAGACATCTCCTATAACAAATGCATCCTTCTCTCTAACAAGTCAACACCTTCACACTCCCTTTAGCTCACAACTAACTGTCTTATGTTTCCTCTGCAGGGAAAATCTAGAGTCAGGACGGAGAGAGAGAGAGGCAGAGCGCTCTCACCGAGGAGAGCCCACTGTCACATGACCTGATCAAAAACATCTAGTGGCATGAAAACTAAATAAAAACACAAAGCCATCTGAAAATACACCAAAAGAAAGCTACAAAATATTTTTTCTGTGTATGTACTGAAGTTAATATATAGGTGAGAGTTAAAAAACTATTCTGTGTTGATTCTATTCTTAAAGAATAAAGATATGTATTAAAGAAAAGTGCGACTCTGTATCAGTGCTGTGTTTTCTGTTGGTTTTAGTATAAGGCTGTTATCGATCGTAAAGGCAATCCAAATAACAAATTTACCTTGAGTCTTAAAGAAATTAGAGAAAGAGGGGGGGGGGGGGGGCTGTAGCCCTGGGCGAGGCTCCATAGGCTTCTTGTGAAAAATATAATTATAATCCCTTAGTTTAAAGGTGGGGTAGGTAATTTTGGAGAAACCAGCTCGAGTGCGCTAGAATTAGAAAATAAACAGCTACGGAGCTATTTCAGGGCAAAAGTTTGAAAGCGAAAAAAAAAGATCTGAAGGTGAAAAGCAATGTGAAACCTGAAAAAACAAGATTTGAAACTGAAAAAATAATTGTTTTGAATCTGAAAACGAAAAATCTGTGCTGAAAAAAATAAGGATTCAAATATCAAAATATGTATAAAAGTGAAATCTGAAAATAAATATATTGTTAAAAAAAATTGCTGAACTGAATCAAAATAATATTCAACCTGAAAAATTATTTCAAATACTTTTTTTTATTTTGAATACATCATTGTATTTTTCAAAGTTCAGGATAAAAACTTGAACTTTCAAATAAATTGTATTTTTTTGAATGATCAAAACTTATGACCCTGAAATAGCTCCATACACAGCCGGAAGAAATCTGCTACTTCCTTACAGAGCCCCTCCCCCAACACACACGAACGCTCACATGACCAATGAGGGCACGAGATAAGTGTGTGCACAGATGGAAGGCTGACAGGCAGGTAGGCCATCCAGTTACTTTAGCCGGGCCGGCTCAGATGATTGGTCGTGCTTTTTACAGTACTACGGCTTCCACAGATGACATTTTTTTATGGATTTGTTGTCAAAGCACTTCAGATATTCATTGCTATCGGGATGTTAAGAGCATTCCATGGAATATAACAAAAAGTGTATCTCGATCCGATTTCTCTAAGACAATTAAATTCATATATAATAGACAATTCATGTTTTAAAACAATACATTTAAAGTAAGATATTTCGGCTCCTACATAGATCTGCTTAACAGTAATTCCAGATATTAAATAAGGTTTTGTTATTTAATAAGAATCATAACTTGCTCAATAAAACAGAGTCCTGTAAATATGTGTTCCTTTAAACATAAAAACATTTATGAATGTAATTTGGTTTCCATCAGTTGTTGCACAAGACGTGGATCACAATGACAAAATATTAAACAATGTGTAATTATTATAATACTTTAAGACTCAATTTTATCTTATGTATAAAGTTAACTATTGACATTATTCTAATACTTTTTTACCTTTATTCCCCTGTGGTAAAGTTTCATTAGCAGCAGTCTTTTTATTAAAATGTCAAGATCACTCGTGCATTTCCAAAAAGGTTCAATGTAAATTAGGCTTCATAGTAAATGAAATCCTACCTTATTAAAAAGGATAGTGTCGACCTGTTTTGCATGATAAGAAACTGCAATAAAAGCCGAGTCCAGGTTGAGAAACGTTATCGTATTTCATTATGAAAGATAGTGACAGCCTATCTTATACTTACAATATGTATTAAAAGAAGTCAAAATGTTACATATTCACATTTCTTCATAGATTTCTTTTTGCTTGGCTTCTGTCCTTATCCATAATCATAAATGAGCTTTTATGATTGTGTGGCAACGGGAGCAGTTCATGTAAAGCTCAAATAGACAACATATTAATACAGATCATTCAAATAAAACCTGGAATGCAGTTCATTTCGGAGAGTTTCTACTTAGTATCACTGCTATTCATTATTGCACTGTGATCCTTTGCTTCCAGAGGTCCGCCTTCACAATACATCGCATTTAAAAACTGAGAGGGAAACATCGAGTGTTGGACTGTAGAGTGTTTTGGAGTAATGTCAGTTTAAACAAGAAAATACATTTACACATGTATTAGTAAAGGAATAAGCATGTTACTGGTGTAAGATAAAAGGAATGCAAATATTCTTAGAGAACATTCCAGATTCACAAAAATCACTTTGGTCGTATTTCAAGTCTTTGACGCCTCTGAAACTAAATATATATATATATAATGTCTCTTCAGGAATATTCATCACTAGCAGAGTTCCTGATGGTGTTTCACGTGGTGACGGCTGGTCGGTCCTTATTGGTCTCTGATGAGATCTTTTATCTCCGTTTGTACTCTTTGGTTCCAGTGTGACTGTCTGTGGCTCAGGAGGAGTCTGCAGGAGAGGAAGCAGCCTTCCTCCTCCCCTCCTCCCCTCCTCCAGGACCTCTCTGTGGCTCAGGAGGAGTCTACAGGAGAGGAAGCAGCCTCCCTCCTCCCCTCCTCCAGGACCTCTCTGACCTGCTCCAGAGTCTCCGCCTGCCGGATCACCTCCAGCCTCATCTGAGGAGCAGAGACACGTCCGTAACATATTAATACAATACTAATAACACTTGGGATTTTTACTGTATTAAACTACATTTCCAGCAATAATCTAGTTTCATCCTTTATACTTATACTCCACTGAATATATTAGAATACAGACAGCTTCATTACATATTGTTGGCATACGATGTAGTGCATTGTGCATATTTTTACTTTACTTCTTATGCTAATACAAATATCTAAGTTCTCTTTTATCTTCTCATCATTAAACATTTTACTTTGATTTCTATAAATATTTTAAATTCTATTTTATTTGATCTTATTGCACATTTTAACTTGATTTGTTTATTTTATTTTTTATTGTATCTTCTTAATGAAAATCTTTACTTATGTTTATACAAACATTTCTATACAATTGTATTTTGATTGATTCTGAATTGTAACCTTGACATACACTGATGTGTGTTAGATTTTGTAAATGCAGGAACAAGTTTGGCCCATTTCTTTCACTCAGCATTTTCTCCCTTCTCTCCTCAACTAAAGCTAAAGTCATCAAAGCTCCGTTGCCTCTCACCTGCAGCGACTGAGAGAGCTGCACGAAGTCTCTCTGAACCGTCTGGCTGGTGTCCACCTGGCTGCGCATGCTGATCACCTGACTGCGCAGCTCCAGACTCTGCTGCTGCAGCGCCGCCTGACAGGAAACAGAGAAATGAATGAAACGGCCAACTTTGAGTGGTATGATTAACAGCATTATTGTGATTATTTATACAATGCCAATGTGACCTGAATTCTAGATTTTGATATAATTTATATATACAGTATATCACTTTGTCTTTATTCCTTAACATTAAACTAAGATAATACATATTTGGCTGCCGAAACTGTGAGAATTATTAAGAAATAGGTCAAATTTGAGGTGTGCATGTGTAATTTATTTGTTCCTAATAATTTCCTGAAACCGAGACAACATGTCATGATTTATAATTTAGCTCCATGGTTAATTTTTTCACTTAGGAACACTTACTGTTAATTTCCAAAGCCTTTAACCACATCTTTTGGCCTTTTTCAGCAAATAAACTCAAACTACATCAACTAAGAAAGGCCATAAGAGTTGATAAAGAGTCTTTCAAGCAAGTAAACAAGCAGTAGTTGGACCTATTTCTTTCTTTCTTTTTTTTTTTTTTTAAATCGACAGAATGAAAGCAGGATACATCACCACTGCAGACCTCACTCAGAAACACAGAGAGCCTCATCACAGAGTGTAATGTTAAAGGCAGGCTGGACTCACCTTCTCAGTACTGAGAGTCTTGCTGGTGCTCTGCAGGTGAGACAGCGCCACCCTCAGGGCCTCCAGCTCGCTGCGGCAGGACAGCAGCTCCGCCTGCAGCTGCTCCTTCTGAGAAGAGACCCTCTCCGTCTCCGTCTTCAGACTGGACAGCCGCACTGCACACACACAGGGACCATTAATACTCAAAGAAAAACTCATGGCTATAAAGAGTTGGCTCTCAGTTTGACCATATTGGTTGTGATAAGACTGGGGGAAAGGGGAAATCAATCTGAATGAAACACAACACTCCACCACGACTTATAAGTAGGTTACCAGACTAATAGAAAACTGTTCACTCACCTTCTAAAACTTCTGATGATGGGAGTTGCAAATTGGTGCGGGCAGGAAGAGAGAATAAAACATGTGTTAGTGTCTCGATAGTCAGTGTTGAGGAAATAATAATACATATGAATATGCTCCACAGACCGTTCTCCTCTGTGCGGGTGTCCAGCTGATCCCTGAGGTTCACTATCTCGATGCGGAGACGCTCCTCACAGTGCGCCCCCTGTAGGTCAGAGGTCAACAGTCAGCACACACACCGAGAGTGTATGCTATGAAGCTGTACCTAAGCATTCATTACAACATTATTTGACCTACAGTACAACTTTTCAACTCAGAAGAAAGCAAATAAACACTTTAAATGACCAACAGACGGTCAGGATACTTTCACAGTATTGCCAACATGGTTAAAAGAGTCATCCATGCATGAAAGTTGGAAAATACACAATGTTTGGGTAAATTAAGTAAATAATGAGCCGTTATATTTCATTTGTTGCTATGTGAGATTGGATCCTTGATGAACTACATTCGAGTCATCCAAAATACATTATTTGACTAATTGTGCTTCAGTCTGTGCTGACAACATAGATTTGAAGTGACTTTTCCTTGGTGTTTACATACTGTAAATACAAACATGTTAGTTTTACCTGCAGTGTAGCGGGGAAGCAGTCGGGCTCATCCTGAACCTCCTCTCCTTTGAGTCTGGACAGCTCGGTGCTCACCTTCCTCTGGGAGAGGGACAACTCTGCCTGGACACACAGATGAGGATTCAAATACTTTTATTATATACAATTGAAATCAACTAACCCTAAGAACATTTTAATGTCTACAATTTGAGTATTGTTCTCTGAATCGCAGAGTTAGATGTCTGGACTCTTTATAAACAGGTACAACCAGCAGCAGGTTATCTTAGCTTAGCATAAAACCTGGAAAAGGGGGTCAAAAGCTAATCTGGCAAGCACCTCTAAAGCTCACTAGAAAACAAGTTGTATCTCATATCTTTAATCTCTACTGTTTGTGTAATGTGTCCTAATTCAGACAGAAAAATGTAAAAACATGAGAAGGTTACAAGCAACACTTTTTGACTTGGCTTGGTGTGGATTGTTTTTGTTGCAACATCACCAGCAAGGAACATTTTGACCGACATGTTTGAGGTATCACGTTAGCTCAGCAACAATCCTAATAAGTGTATTTCCCTAACTGTATCTCTTTATTCCATTCTCACACACACACACTCAGGAGGACCGGCATCACTCACCAGTCGACTCTGGACGGCGCTCTGTGATTGGCTGAAAGATTTCTGCAGATCCTGGAGGAGGGCCTCTGAGGTGTGGACCTGAGCCTGGAGCATTGACACCTGAACACACACACACACACACAAACAGAGAAACACAAATTAACATGCAAATAAACCAGCACGTAACATCCACTCCCACTCAATAAACATCACACATTAGCTCACCTGTTTGTGCGTTTTGTTGCTCTGTGTGTCCAGCTCTCTCTCCAGCTCCTCCTTCTCCTCCTGCAGCCGGCTCAGCTCGCCTCGCAGCTCCGACACCTGCACAACACACATAACAGCCTCAATTCCTCATGTATTCATTTTTCTATTAGGACGGCAACTAACGATTCTTTTTATTAGTTATTTCCATTAATCTGCTCATTGATTTTCAGTATAATCAATATTTGGTCTATAATATGTTAGACACTAGAGATTAATGTCCATGCAAGTTTTTACATTGCAAGGTGATATCTTTAAAAGGTCTTTTTCAGTTCAAATCCCCAAAATATTCTGTAAAATATGAAAATAAAGAGGTAAGAATTGTTAATCAATTATCTATATATATAAATCAATATTTAAAAGGCCGCAGAAAATCACTTTATTGACTCATCGATAATGAAAGTAGTTATCAGTTGTTTTTCTGTCAATCGACTAACCTTTCCTAACTAATGGAGGTGTTTGGTCAAAATGAATGAATTAAATGACACTAAAACTACACATTTAAGAGTGTAAGGATGCTTTTTTTTATAAAAGTATTAAACCTGACATTTGGTGTCATCATTTTGAATCTGTACCTGAGCATTGAGGGCGTCCCAGTCTCCGTGCGGGACCAGCCGGTGTCCGGCCGGCGGCAGGTAGATGGCTTCAGGCACCAGGGTTCCCGTGGAGACGAGGGAGTCGGTGTCCTCCTGAGCGTGGAGCTTCCTGGGCAGAGAGGGCGTGTCTAAGGAGAAGGAGGACAGCGAGGCCGAGTCGCAGTGCCGCAGAGAGAAATACGCTTCTGACGTAGGAGGCGTCCCGTCTCCCTCCGACGACACTTCCAGATCTGCCGACTGGTTCTGTCTCCGCTCCACCGCCACGGCCTCCGACAGGCTGTTGGTGAGCGATGCCGGGGATTCATTATTGCCTTTCCTTCCACTGATCTAGCAGGTAGAGAGAGGGAAATGATGGGATTTAGTCCAGAACATTATGGGACCATGTTTGGAATAACACACATAGTTCAATACTGACCATGTTCTGCCCACTGGCTCTCCTCCACTCTCCAGGCTGAGACTGGAGGACTGATAGCCTGGCCTCATACTGCTCTGCTGTCTCTGTACACACAGGATCATGACATTGTGATTAAATCCTCCAATCAGAAGAACAATATCCGCTTTGCCACAAAGTTTGAGAATCACACACACACACACACACACACACACCACACACTTTCCGTCTCTATCTCTCCCACACACACACACACACACACACACACACACACACACACACACACACACCTCTGAGAGCCTCCTGCAGAGACTGGATCTCTTGATCACATTGTTTCTGCAGCTCTGCCAGTTCCTCCTGTTTGCTCAGCTCGCAGATCGTCGCCACGCCCTGCCAGTGTTCCACCTGAGCTCGGCACTCGGCTAGCTGGGCCTGCAGGCTCGCCTCTGAAAAACCAGAAACAGGTTGTATATTATTCTGCATTATAAGCACAAAAGAAAGCCCACATGATTTCCCTAACCTATACGTCGAAATGTAAAGCACATTTGCATCGTGTAGTTTTGTAAGACTACGAAGCATTTATGTAATCATTGTTAGGTGAGCACATTGGAGTTAGATGGAGAAGATGCAAACACATCCTTTAAATATAGGTGTGCCTGTCATGAAGTAGTGTGTGTGTGTATTTTGACTAACAATTTCACGAGTGTATAGGCCATAAATGACTGCATTTGTCATTGTTTGAGTGTTTGACAGGGAACACAACCAATTGATTACATTGTTTAATTCACTGGGAGATCAAATAGGAGATTACACCCTATCTTCTAATGAGTAAATAAACTCAAGGCAAAGTCCCACATAAGCCAATGCTGAGTTTGCGTGTTTTTCATTTCTTTTAAATGTATTCTCTTTATATTCGTTCAAGCACAAATGGAAACGTTTAGTTACCTAAGATTTGCAAATGCTTTGTACATTTTTCATTATTGACGTTTGAATAAACATAAATCTTTTTTTAAAGCATGTTGTTTGAGCTACCAGGACTTCTAAACGTAAGGTTTTATTAACTGTTGCTGTCATTATTTTTAATAATTAAGACAGTAGCAAACACAACATTCTTTATACCTACTTTATTTATATTGCTCAAGAAGAACTAAGCATATGTCTGCTTGTTTTTGAAAACTTTAAAATAAGTTTGAAGTAAGTTGGTGTATTAGCATTAACAGGTTACTCACTGCTACTCAAGGACTGTCTGAAAAAACAGCAGACCTAGAGATCAATTGGTTGTGTTGTAACACATGACTAGGTACAGTAGTCAGTCACATGTCCGATAATATCAAATAAAGAAGTGAAACAGATAGTACAAATATTGTGGTTTAAGCAGAGGTGGAAGAAGTACTTAAATAAAAGTAGAAGTTTAAGAGTGTATGAATACTCTGTTACAAGTAAAAGTCCAGCATTGCAAATGTTACTCAAGTAAAAATACATTATTCACCTATGAATTGTAGTGGGGTAGAAGTACAAAGTAGCAAAGCATTGAAATACTCAAGTAAAGTAGTAGCATCTTAAAAGTTTACTTAAGTACAGTACTTGAGTAAATGTACTTCGTTACTTCACAGCACTGGGTTTAAGCTACAGGAGGTCCAGTTTGGATACAAGTTGCTAAGCTGCTAAAGTGTTAGCTTGCGGCTAGCATCGCCCGTTCATTCCTATGGTCGGAGATGCTAACAGGCCGTTTTGTCGGTTAGCTGACCGGTGCTGCTTAACATTCAACAGGTTTCTCTCACAGCGAAGACAAGCAACACGTAAGCGTTATTTTGTAATAAACGCCAAACTCTTAAGAGGTCAGTATTCCCACGCAGACAATCCTGTTAGGAGTAAAGCAGATTAAAGTGTGTATTTACCTGAGTCTTCTTCACTCCTGGAGCTCATGTTTTCCTCAGACAGAGTCAATCTGTCGAGGGATAAAGACGACTATCATCAAAAATGCGATAAACGTGTCGGAGTCATTTTTGTACAAGAACCTCCAGAGTTTAGGTGTGGAAATGATCAGCAGTGTCAACTTCAGGAAACAACTTTCCCCGGTCCAAAGCCTGCGGAAATCACGTCAACATCCTTCCTGTTCTCATGAGCCTTTCCCTGTTTGCTTTGCACTTTCATTTCAATGTTTTCAGGATGGTTAAATACCGAGAAACATGGTCACAGGTTTCTTTAGTGACTGCCACACCCTAGACATTAATGTATGTATGCAGCCATCAGGTCCACTGTGTGCTGACCACTGGAGGTCACTGGAGCTTTTTATTGGCTGTCTGTCACAAAAAGGCAGTGGAAGAGTGAAACTGAGTACATGTACTGTAATAAAGGGGTACTTAAACACTGAGAATAGTGTATAACTTTCGCAGCTACCTGAAGTATGAAAAAAACATTTAAAATCAAAGAGAAACATTTCTTGAAACAATTCGGTCACAATAAATCAATCTACTTCGGTTTTCCCTCTGTAGCCAATTTAAGATATTCTAAAGTTGTCTCTAAAAAGGAAAATAATGTTGTGAAGGCAGTGTATCGGTACTTTAACATCATGTAGAAGATTATTCAGGTAATTCAGAAATGGATTCTTTATTTTAAAGAGTGTTAAGCTAGATCCACTTTAACAGGCTGGTGTCTACACAGCTTTCTTTTTGTAGGAGGGAGCTGCTGTCTACAAAAAAAATCCACATTGTAGGCTTAATCTTATTGCAGGAAAGTAAGTTTGTCCTTCTTCACTGTGCTAGTTGAAAGTGTAAAGTACAAAACTGGCTGTTATCAGCTTTGACAAGTAGGTCACTTTTCCTACAGCGTGCTGCTGATATGATATAAGGTCCTCTCTTGTCCTTTACAGAGGGAAGGTTACCCGTGTAGTGTATGTGCATTATTAAAATCCTGCCAAATGATTAATATAATGCAACATTCACTTTAATGAGTTCATTAAGATGGAGTTATGTTTTAGTTTGTGATTATTCCCCCCTTTCCTGAGTCACTGCATAATCCAATGACCATTTTAAGTGATTCATGAAATGTATCTGTTGAACGTTGTCAAGTAAAAAAATTCAGATGTTAAAAAAGCAAGTGTGATATTAACCTTGAAACAAGGCAACTGTATTTTATTGGCAGCAGTCGGTTCCCATCTGTTTCCTTTGCTGGACAAAGGCATGGACAAGGTTTATAGTTTCCTGTGTTTGCTTTTAAATAAATAAAAACTACAGACCGCTACTTTAGAATGACTGAATTGACCAAATAAGAAGCTACACATGTTTAACTTCAAAGAGTAAGCTGTGATTTCAGCCGAATCCTTACATATACAGGTTGTGGTCGAAACTGTGACTTTCTAGCCCCGACACTCTTGCAGAGTAGATGCCACGTTTTCATTTCTTTATTCAGACATCTGCTATCTACAGTGAGAGTGCATGCATCCTGTCTGTGCTTCATCAGTCAGTGAAAGTGGGTGTGGTGAGGAAAAGTTAAAACAAAAGCCAAGGATACACCTCATCTTTAGGCCTAAGAAATGTTAATGTGACCTTAGTGTCAAGGAATTAACAAAAGAACAGTGTAACAATTGGAAAGATGAAATGTATTGTTCTCAAAATGTGTTTAATTTCTTGTTTGAAAGACCTCAAGTACAGAATAGAAACCCAAGAAAGAGCCTCATCAATATCTATTATTATGAACAGTGTATGATTTAAGTTATTGGCAATTAAAACATGGTCACAATGTAGAACAGACTAGTACAAAAAGTTGGTTTCATCAGGGGGAACATGTTGAATTCCTGGACATTGAATTCAATAACAGTTGTGCGTATAATTGAATATTCTACAAAGGAACTAACAGACATTCAGGATGCTAAGTGGAATAATATCAACACCGCTTCTTCATGATCCCACAGTACTGTATAAAATGCTGGCGATGGTTTTCAAAAACTCATACAAAGTCGACTCATGTAAACGAGTGCTATACGTCTTCTAACCAAAATACTATTAATCTGATAAAGAAATATTATAAATAGTTTTGCAAATGTTTAAATATCTTAAAGTGGTATAAGCCTGTTAATCATTTGACTGGAAGAGAGGCACATGTATAGAAATGCTCACAACGAATAAGCGATCAGTAACAAGAGCTCATTTCCAACACTAGTTATCTGCAGGTAGTGTGGGTTCAGAGTGCTGACAGACGTACATCTTCCTCATCAGACATGTGATGGGTGTTAGTACCGTGTGCTTATAACGTACATCTGCACACTTTAACATGATACAGTGAGGAGCGATCAAAGTGACTTGGCTTAAAGGTTTCATTTCATTTGGTCCAACGTCAGTATGGGGACGCTGAAATGGTTTTCCTTTACATTTCCATGTCCTGATCGCTGACACTCTGGCGAAGGTATTCGTCGTACAGCTTTTTCTAGAGGGGAGAAAATAAGAGTTAAAGCTCATTGCTGCCATTTCAGAAATATAATCAGTTTTTTCAGTAGGTTTAAAGAGACATATTATGCCATCAGGTTAATATTTGTATTTTGTGCCACTACTCCGACATGTCTCCATGCTTTAATGTTCAAAAAGGTCTTTATTTTTCTCATACTGCCTGTGCTGCAGCACTTCTTTCCCCCCTTTGTCTGAAATCACAATTCAAATACGACAATTTCCTCGAAAACCTAAATATGTGCAGTATCTTAGAATATAAAAGTAAAAGTGCTGATTTAAAAGAGCTTGCATTGAACAGAAATGTGCAAAATATAAGACTGATAAACATCTGAGCTCTGTGAAGTGCCTACCCTCACTTGTGAACACACACATCTGGTTCCAGAACACACATTTATACACACTACAATAAGCAGTATTTTATTCCAATGTAGAGTATTTAATTTTACATTGTGTTTTATTTAACCTGTAAAAAGTTTACTTATTTCTACATTTACATGCATATTGTGTCACTTGCAATATTTTCTTGCACTATTTATACTTATTTGCATATCTTAAGTATATTGCATGTTGTAGGAGCCTGGGACTAGAGATGTCCCGATCCGATCACGTGATCGGGGATCGGAGCCGATCACGTGATTTTCAAAAGATCGGAATCGGGAGAAAAAAATCGGGGATCGGGATTTTTTTTTTTTAATTCAATGTTACAAAACAAAAATGACCATGTTCAAGTCTT